ACCCTATGCGGTATGCGTTATGAGAGGACAAGCCCAAGCACCCTTTGAGTCCACGAGGGGTCTACAACACACTGTCAAGAAGCTCATCGCAAGTCTTCTTACAGGCGAGTACGGGCGAGCAGGGATGTTCAGCCCTTTGTTGCATATTTTCCCGGAAAATGCAAAAAACCGTAAACACATGGGGGCTGATCCCTTCACCCCATCCATATCACACCCGATCGCTGCCTGTTGCTCTCCACTGCCACGTTTTCTTATCTTCTCATCACTTATTTGAAGACGCTCAGAAATTCCATGACATAGCATGTGAAACAACAAGACGGGGTAAACCCCTCCAGAGCTCTGTTCCGAGAGTCGCTCAGCAAGTTTCAAAGGAAAATTGGAACTCAGCGTTGCGGGTGCCTCGGTGTGCATCGTATTGCAAATAATTGGACTCTTCTGCTGACCTTCCTTGGTTAGTATCAGAAATAAAGAGCCAGTAGCAACATGAATACTGTCGTTCCTGTAGTTCACATGAGAAACTAACAATAACCAAGAACCAATAGTCAACATACCCGTGAAGGTTATCGGCCAGACAGCGAATAAAGGTGCCAACAACTGGTATTTTGGTTGTTATACATTGACGTAGCGACTGTAGTGCCTCCTGGTTTGGAGTGATCTGTGAAACGTTGTAGTATTGATGCCAATATTCAAAGGTTATGGCTAATATCTCTTCACCTCCGCCAAGGTTTTCCAGCACTCACCACTGCATTCTACAGCCTGAAATAGAAACCAGTTGAAAGCTCAGAGTTTTGAACAGAAGCTCCCCTACGTAAGCGTCACACGCTAGGAAGTGTTGCTTCGACTGCAGGTGGGAAGATAGCCGACAGGTGGAAGAAATCGATAGACGGTAGAAATAAAGAATGTTCTTCACCGTTCATCATTTTTGACATCTCGCAAAGTCTCATACCTGCTTTCCAACGACGCTTCCCAAACAAGAATCTCCGTGCCTGAGGAGCCCTTTACAGGAGTGGCCAATAAGAAAGACCCTTGCTCATACAAACACACCTGCTCGCGTAGATAGGCATTACATCAGAGTTGCACCATCTAACTACCGCAATTGCCTTTGAGGGTGTATCGACGAACTGCCTCAACTCCACTCAGTGGATAGAGGAGCACAGGAAAATAATTCAAGCTCGCGGCTAAGAAGCTAGGGAGATTCTCAGTTTCAAATTTGTGATTTTCTCCCACGTATACCTCAGAAAAATGCCCTAAAAAAAGAGAACGCTGTCTCGTAACTGTAGAGGCAAAAACAACTAGCCGTAAAAAAAAGGGGGGGGGAGGGTCGTAACGACTTCTCTAAAGAAGAGGGAGGGGAGTGGCGTATGACCCCGACCAACATCCCAACGCATTATATGTCCTTGCACATAATAATAAACCGGCATTACACCAGCTGCTGCATTAACAGGGTACAGCATCGTTGTGTGAAATACATAGGGACTTCGTAATAAATTGGGAAGGGGGGGGGAGGGTCGTATGTGGCTTTGATAGGAATTTTCCGCGTGGGGAAAAAATTTCTCCTGATTGTTGATTTCTCAAGGTTTTTCCTGTTTTATATGATCATATATGATATCAGCAGTAGACACTTTTGTTTTAGACATTATAAGTAGTGGGGATTCCATTGCGCAAAAGAGCTGTTTCATAAGGA